GGCCACACACGTGCCGTTCCAACATAAGTCTAAAAGCCATAGACGGTCTTTTTGGTCAATAGTCTCTACAGCAGCAAAGAAAAAGTTGATGATGTACCCAATCTCAGCATTCACATGTAATCGTGCTTGGCTTACGGTATTGTGTTGCTCACATTCCGTTCCTTTAATTGTACTACGCGGAAAAATAGCGCCATGTTTGAGAGAGATACGATGGGCGTTGACTCTTGCCTGGGGAAGAAGCGAATACAAGCCCCGAAGTAATGCCAGGGCGCGCGGTGGTGAAGTCAATGTGTAAAATATACCATGATACAAGTACTGATGAAGATCATATAAAAGGCTCGTTTTTGTAGCCGAGCAACCGCCACGTGGTAGCCCGTTATGTAAGTTATGGGAAACACAAAACAGTCGAAATGCATTGAACAATAGGGAGAGACGTAGCCGATCCGGTGTTAATTCTTCTTGTTGCTGCAAGTCAATTAAAAAATGATCCCAGAATTCATTCAAGATCAAACGTTGATCTTCCATTATTTCTGAAATGGTGGGGAATAAACGTGCGGAGGGGATACCGCCGCTATGGTGCCGGGCCAAATATGTCACCGTCACCCTCGTTGGCAGTGTGTCTGGAGTGATGGAAATAATAAATCGTTTCTTAAAAGATAAAGTTTTCTTTTTTTGATTCTCAAAGGAAGAAATAATGCGACCACCAAACCCGGGATCACTCTCGCTGTCACTTGGACACGATAGGGCTGCCGCAGAAAAGTTTTGCTCCATCAAACCGTGGTCTCCCGTCTCGCACAGTAGCTGGTGCTCCGGGGTAATTTTTACGGAGCTGTTTTCATAATCCACAGCACAGGTGGATTGCGTAACGATGCTCTCCACGACGCCGGAGGTGCGGGACTGCAGCAAAATATCATCTACACTGTCACCTCGCAGAATAGCCCACTCTCTCAAATCCACGGTGATTGTCACAACAAACTCCAAAAGATATGAGGGAGATGCATCCGGATTCGTAGAGTTCATATTGTTTGAGTAAAAAATATTGGGGGATTCACCGAGGTAAAGATCATATGGCGATGAACCAAAAGTAAAATTGGAGTAAACAATATCCGCTCCCCATAAGTCCAGCTCTTTCATGGAAACGACGCGACGATAATCTCCATCAAACATTAATCCACCATCCCCACTCATTACATCACGGCATTCACTGTGATACGTTGCATTACGCAAATCAAGCCGTCGGGGTGGCACGGACCGAAGGGTACCGCAATCGCCATCAATTAGGCAGTCAAGATTGACGGTACAAACAGCGGCCCCCATCTGCATCTCGTAAGGTAGGGCTTCGCTATCAATTTGACGATCAACTGGAACGTTGTGGTATACTCCATTCACAAAGACATTTGATTCGAAACCGACTGTCTCACATTCACTGCGGTGCCGAACACCCAGATATCCGTTGGTGCCATACATCACACCGTCTGTTACACTGCCGGAGACATATGCGGCAGCATCCGTTCCTTGCACTATATTCCAGCCATCCAGTAAAAAAATGGGTCGTTTTGTGACCTCGTACTCACGAGCCAATGGACTCCGCCGCCAAAACGGCATGTGTTTTTCTTCGTTCCTCGCCCTTTTATAATAAACAATTAACCCACAGTCCTCTGCTTCTTTTCACTTGTTTTTTTTTTTTTTTCCTTTTCGTCTCGGTTCCTCTCAGTGTATGTATTTTTGTGTTTATTTTCTCTTCTCTTCTCTTGTTTTTTTTTTTTTCCCCTTCTTCTTCTTTTACTCCGCTGGAACAGAAATAAACCTCAATTTATTCTACCCCTCTTGTCTCCAGAGCCTTTCCGTTTCTATGCTTCTGTTTTTACGTATTGTTCTCACTTCTTCTCACAGGGAATGCACTGGGGTGGGGAATGGAGTCGACAATTAGAACAGCAAGAGAAAAGCTGCAAGTCAACCCCCCCAAAAAAAAAGAAAAAGAAGACGAAGAAGCAAGTTGGGACACGTACAAACGGAAAAAAAAAAAAAAAAAAAGAAAAAAAAAGGAACAATACCCATTGGGATGGTTCCTTTTATCCCAATTCTTGTGGCTGTTATCAGGAATCACTGTTACCATCTCCCGTGTCCACTTCCCCATTCGGTAACGGCTGCTGTTCCTCTTCACTTTCTTTTTTTTTTTTTTTCCTCTCCTCTTTTTGTGTTGTTTCCCCCCTTCAACGCCTTCGCTCCTTCTTACTGAATTTACTCCCTGTGTTGTGTCTATGCTCTTCTATTTCTCATTTGCAGCCTATTCCACAGCTGTACTTCTTTCTTACTTGCCTCTTTCTATTTCTTTTCTATAAAACAGCAAAAGGAAGTTACTTTTTCCCTCCTTTTTTTTTTTTTTAATGTGTGCTAATTAACGCCGTGATGAGGAGGTACGCAGACGCTCCCTTGCCTGTATGATGTGCATCTCACCGGGCGTTAGTTTGCCAGAAAACAATCCCCTCTTCAGGGGTTTCGCAGAGACATCTTCGGGCGCGCCAGGTTGAGAACCAGAAGTAAAATGCTTCCGAAAAATCGAATTCACTACTCGTTTCCGCGGTGCTGTCACAGTGGGAGCCGCAGGCGTACCCACAGGTGGCGATACTTTCACAGCATGCATACTCCTGACCACCAATGGAGAATCTTTGGCCGCAAGAACCTGTCGGTTCCGTGCATCTTCCACAACACACGGGGAAGCCACAGGCTCCGCTGCGTAACGACGACCAAACAAAAAGTAATCCTCTTCAAGACATAACGCCTCTTTTTGGGGATCAACACAATTTATTGGGCCCACCGCAACACCAGATGTGCTAGATCCATGAAAACATCCTGGGGAAAGGCTTACCATACAAGATGAAGTATTTTTATCACCATCTGTGTTTGACCGAATATGAATGGCAGACAACGACTCCCCGAATGGTGGCAACTCCGCCGGTATAGCCATGGCCGCAGCAGCCGTGGTCGTCTGTGGACCCTTTGAAACAAAAATGCGTGGCGGTGGCGATTGGGATGAATCTTTGCAACTCACAGCGTTAAAGAATTCCTTATAGGGAACCATAATGGAAGAATCTTTATTCGACCAGGTGGATGCTTCCTGATGAGTGTTCGAAATGACCTTTGTATCCCTCACAGATGGAATGATAGCACCCTCGTTACAAATGGAACTCGTTGTGCAAAATGGAGGTACAAGCGATTGCGCTTCGTTTGAGGTGAGGCAAATGGTTCTGGGTATTTCCGGCATCGCAGCAGCCTTTAAAAGAGGAGGTGTATCCAGAAGCATCAATGGTGTAGAGAGCGGTCCAAAGACGCAAGTTGACTGCTTTTCTGGTTCCTGCTGTGTTGTTTCTTCTTGCGCCTGCGGAGCAGAATCGTCGCCATTTTCCAACGCCGCAACGTCACTTGAACTCACTGTAGACATGGCCTGCAATACTCGTCTATGCTTGTCTGTTGCCGGCGATGATGACGATGAGAATAAGGAGGGTGATGAGCGCGGGGGCGAAGCCAAAGAAGACGATGGGGGTTTCAAAGCACCTGAAGAATGCGCTCTTCTGAAGGTCAAGCGAGGGGGTCTCGCTCCCGCTTTGGATAAAAAACTCGCCGTGAGGCGTTGCAGAAGAGCGGACAAACACTTTGATAACTTCTCACAGCGTTTCTGAGCCTCCACGTCCTGAGGGGCGCCAGCAACGTCGTCCACGGCCCAACGATTTACGCGAATTCTAGAAATCTTTTCTCGGAGTTGTGCCAGCCGCATCTTGCAAGACAGAAGAGGACGTAGTGAAGAAAGAAACAAAAGCGTCGGCTTCTTCTCATCCTTATTGACATCAGTTTGGGAGTTCGGCTTAGCATCCGCTTCAAAAGAAGTTTCCAGCTCCCTTGCAAATGCACTGACGCTTTGGCCCACAGAATTTGCTGTTTCTATGGCCTCTTCTCGGATGGCATCCGATTGTCGTATAACAAGTTCAGTCGGGGAAGCCGCCCCAAAATCTGCATCAGCCGTACGCGTGGCTGGAAAAACATTGGAAGGGGGCACCGTTTCCACAATGGCAAGTGCGGCAGGAACAGCAAGGGATGGAGTTTCTGGGTTGGAAAGGGCAGGAGTCGCCGTTGACGGTGACGGCGGCGGCATTTCACTTGATGACTTCTGCACATCAGATTTCTTCGACTGGCAGTAAGAAGAAAATGATGTAGCAACTTTATGCACAAGGTGTATTTTTTTCAGTAGCTTTTGTAATTCCTTCGGCTGCAGCGAGATGACAGCCTTGGCTTCATCCTTGTAATAGCCAGCTCCGGTGGAGCGAGAGCGACGGTGATGATGATGACTACGTGAGACAGAGCGCTTGGTATCTGTCTGGGGAGTTTCTTGTCCTTCTCCTCCCTTGCTCCACATCTGCCGCACACGCTCACGCTGTGGATCTGGTCCTTCCGTTTGAAATATCTTTTCATGCCGAATCTTCGCCACAATTTCAGCCAATCGCCGCATGTTATCCTTCTGTTTATCCGCAGCGGAAATCAAAGACTCTACGCGCCGCTCAATGTATTTTTCAAGAATATCCTTCACAGCTTGCACAAACTCCGTTTTCCGTTCCTGCATCGTGTCCACGGCATCCAAGTATTCCTTTTTTTCAGGCCATTCCACGGTTTTTAGAACGATATTCAAGTTATGAATACGTTTAAGTTCTGCTTTAATTTCCCTCACAAGACCCATGACAATTACACGACGAAATGGTTTGGCAACTGAATGATCCTCGAACTTCTCCCCGGATTTTATCCGATGGGTCTTTGATTTCACAGCCGTCACACCAGGGGCGTATCCCTTCATCGACATGAGGACATCCCGTATCTGGCGACTAACCGAGATGCATTTCTCAGTGTGTTGTAGTCGTTGTTCTCTGTCAGGAATGTTGTGCGGCATCGCCTCCATATTGTATCCCGTAAGGCTCTCGCACAAGAGGTTGCTTTTTCCAGGAGCAACTCAATCTCCTCTGACGTCAAATATAAATTTGGTTCCATGTTCTCAAGTTCGTCAAGTATTGTCCTTTTCATTGCCTGAGAGCGGGATGCGTTTTTCTTGAGGATAAATTCTTCCTGCCGTCGCACGAATGCCTTAAACTCCGGCGTCAATTCCTCGGGGTCAGTCACCACTCCCAACTCATTAACATGTATCGATGCGCCGCTGCCATCCCCATGAGAGCCTGTCGCATCCTTTTTTTTCAACGGAAACGTAAACGCAAAGCCGTCATCCACAGGAACCAACCCCTGCCAGAAATTGTCATTGTAACCATTGCCATCACTGTCATGCCTGGAAATATTCCTTGCGTCACTACTTTTGGTGAATGCAAGTTGACCCACTCTCTTGGAATCAGGCGGACGTTTCTTCGCCTTTATTCCAGTGACGGTGCAACCACCGTACACAATAAAGGAAACATCATCGGCGCAGTGACAGGCAGCCGAAAAAGCAAGTGGTGGTATTGCAGGTCGAACGGTTATTTTTTTCCAGAGATATTGTCCCGTGCTCGTTGGTACTAGCTGAAGCTCATAAATACTACTAGTTGGCTTTGTCTCAGTTGTTATGGCACCTTCGAATCCACCAATGACAATCAAACTTGAACCCAGAATGCAAGAGGCATGTGCACCACGGGCAGGCGTACCGTGACACTCCAGCTGTTCCCAATGCTCATTTACCAAATCAAATGCCCATACATCAGCTAGTGGTTCGTTGTAGGCATCAAATCCCCCGTAAACGATCATCCAGTTCCCATAAATGGCGGCACTGTGAAGATAACGTGCCTTTGGTGACACTGCAGAGGAACGAATAAGCGAAATACTATTGTTCTCCGCATGGATCCCTATAAGCTGTGCCGAAACAAGTAATCGATTCGTCACGCCCCCAAACAAATAAATCGTGTTAGAAGTTGCCACGGCTGTGTGAAGCGCCACAGGAATCTCAGGGGATGTCTGGACGACCCGCCAACGAAGAGTCTTCAAGTTCATCTCAAATAGTACCGGCATAAACCCAATCGGGGATTCCTCTTCTACCCGCATTGCAAGCGACCAGAGCGTCGGTTTCTCGGATTCTTTAAATTCCATTCGCTCAGATGGTGGTCGCTTTGTCTTAGTTTTATCTTGGCATGGGAAAAGGATGCGGCTTCGTAGTTTGGAGAATTCATCCGAATATCTTTCTCCTTGAACCGGCTGTCCACCAGGACTCATACCCCCAATCACCACGAGACGCTGAAGACGTTCAACAACCACCGCCGCATGGCCATAATTACCAGGGAAAAAAAAATGTTTACCCTCAACTCGTCGCCAATGGCCCGTTAAGACAGAAAATTCGTAAAGCTCCTTCTCGACTTTTTTACCAAAGTTGGTAATTCCTCCGTACACGAGAATCCGTTGTCCTTGGTCGGACGGGCCGAGGTAAGACGCAGTGGCATGCAACATAAGTGGGGGTAAACGGAACCTTCTAGAAGTTGCACCTGGAATTATGGATGTAGATTGGAGCCAATTATGATTTCTTTCCGGGTCAATAGGGGGCGCAAAGGAGGCCCAAATATCTCGACGAGAATGCAACACTTTTTCAG